CTCCCTCCCTGCTCCCCTTGGGGCTTGGCCCCCCTTTTCAAGAGGGAAACCCCGCCGTGCTCATTTCCATCCCGGTTTGTGGGTGACGTTTGATTGAGGGCGACCACGGAGAAAAGCCTCTGCCCAGGGCAGCCGCTCCCCGCATCTCTACACCATCGCCCTTGAACCTGACCTTCGACTCCTTCCAGCCCGGTACCCGTCCCCGAGCACCGATGCCGAGCCCGGGGGCAACGGGAGCAGCGAGGGAGGGGAGATCCCAAAGGGAATCTCTTCTCAGCCCAGAGAAAAGATGGGATTTGCCTCTGGCACGGCGGCTGCTGCTCAGGTGTCAGGGACGCGAGGGTGACAGCGGGGATGCGAGGGGGCCGGCGGGGGGCCCCGCTCTCACCGGGTTTCACAAAGGGAATCTCTTCTCAGCCAAGAGAAAAGATGGGATTTGCCTCTGGCACGGCGGCTGCTGCTCAGGTGTCAGGGACGCGAGGGTGACAGCGGGGATGCGAGGGGGCCGGCGGGGTCCCCTGCTCTCACCGGCTTTCAGGAGGATGATCTGGTCGTTCTGGCAGAGCTCCATGAAGCCGTCGATGCGCTTGGCAAACTCCACCACGTACTGGATGGCGTTGGAGATCTGCAGCGAGCACTGCTGCCACATGGCCTCGCAGCTCTGCCGACACAGCGGGGACGTCCCTTAGGGCTCACCGCCACCCTGTCACCCGGGGCTTGCTGCCAGCATGTCACCCTGGCTCTGCTGTCCCCCCCGTCCCCACTGCACGGGGCGGGGAAGGGACCCGGGTGCCATGCCACCCCCTCCCCCCATCCCTCCCAACTGGGCTTCACACAGCTCCCAAAGCACCAAAAGACCCTCCTCATCCTCCTCGCCTTCCTTGGCTGCAGCACCGGGGGACAGCGGTGGCCCTTGCCGAGGGCTGCGGTGGCTCTGGCTGTGACGGGGAGCCGGAGGGGGCCGTGGCGGCGGCACTCACCTTGCTCTGCAAAGCGCGGACCTCCCCGGGGGGGTAGGGGCTCCACGCCCGGGGGCTGGGGCCCC